AATTTTTACTATTTACAGGAAGTCAATTTAAAATAAAAAGACATAGACATTTCAAATGTAAAAGGATGCAAAAAAAATGCTAGGTAAATACTAATCAAAAGCAAGTTGGAGTAGTTAACGTACAACACACAAAGTGACTTCAGAGCAAGGAATATTAACAGGGATAGACAGATAAAAGATAAAAGGGTCAGTTCATCACAAAGGCATAATATTAAATGGGCATACACCCAAAAACAGTCTTCAAAATACATGACTCAAAACTGTACTAGAACTAACCATTAGTAGACAAATCCACAATTTTATTTGGTAACGTCAACACTCCCCTCTCTTAGTAGTGGATAGAACAAGACATAAAATAATTATGGATACAGAATACCTGAGTAACACTATTATCGAAGTTGACATGGAACGTTTACCAAGATACTAAGTTCTGGATAACAAACCCTGACAAAATTTTAAAAGTAAAATCATGAATGCATTCTGTGACAACATAATAGAATTCTGTCACAGAAAGATAGCTGAAAATCTCCAATTATTTGGAAACAATTGACATACTTTCAAGTAATCCACTAGCAAAGGCACAAGAAAAACTTTAAAATATTTTTAATTAAGCCAGGCAAGGTGGCTCACACCTGTAATCCCAGCACTTTGGGAGGTGGAGTCGAGAGGACTGCCTGAGCCCAGGGGTTCAAGACAGCATGAGCAACTTGGCGAGATCTCGTTGCTATAGTAAATAAAAAAAATTAGTCAGGCGTGGTGATGCACGCCTTTAGCTCCAGCAACTTGGAAGGCTGAGGCAGAAGGATCGCCTAAGTCTAGCAGGTTGAGGCTGCAGTGGCCCATGAGTGTGTCATTGCACTCCAGTCTGGATGATGGTGAAACACTGACTCAAAAACAGTAATTTTAAAAAATTAATTATAGATGAATGTCCAACATATCAGCAACAGAAATTCTCATTCATTGCAGGTGGGAATGCAAAACAGAAGACAGTGTGGCTGTTTCTTATAAAACTAACCATATTCTTACCATATAATCCACCAATCATGTTCTTTGGTATTCACCTAAATGAGCTGAAAACATATCCACATACACAAAAAACCCCAAAATCAAAATAGCACATACACGGATGTTTATAGCTGCTTTACACATAACTGCCAGAACTTAGAGGCAACCCAGATGTTCTTCAGTAGGTAAATAGATAAACTGTGGTATATCTGGATAATGGAATATTACTCAGCATTAAAAAAAAAGGAAAAACAGAAAAAGCTATTAAGCCATGAAAAAAGACATGGAGGAAACTTAAATGAGTATTAGCAACAGAAAGTAGTCTGTTTAAAAAAGGCTGTATACCGTGGGAAAGGCAAAACTATGGAAACTTTAGAGGACCAGTATTTGTCAGGGGCTTAAGGGGAGGCAAGGAAAACAGGCAGAACATGGATGATACATGTCATCATTACTCATGATGTCAAAATCTATAGAATGTACAACACCAAGGATGAACCCAAATGTAAACTATGAACTTTGGGTTATAACAATGTGTCAATGTAAGTTCATAGATTATAACAAACAAGTGTGAGATTGCTGACGATAGAGAAGGCTGTGAATATGCTGGGACAAAGGGTAGATTTTGTACTCTCCACTCCATTTTGCTGTAACATAAAACTTCTCTAAAAAATAAAATTTACTTAAAATAATCCTACATAAAATGTGTGAGATGCAGCTAAGGAAAGTTTGAAGGATATTTATAATGTTAAATGCTCATAATAGAAAAGAAAGGTCTGAGCCAGGTGTGGTGGCATGCACCTGTAGTCCCAGATACCTGAAAACTGAGGGAGGATTGCCTTAGCCCAGGGGGTCAAGGCTGCAGTGAGCCAGGATTGCAGTACTGCACTCCGGCCTGGGTAATAGAGCGAGAGACTGTCTTTAAAAAAAAATAAAAAATTTAAAAAAGGTCTGAAATCAGTGATCTAAGATTCTTACCTAAGATATTACAAAGAGAAGATTAAACTCCAAATAGACAGAAGAAATAAAAGCAGTATTCTTGGTTTTGTTATACTAAAAGTTGTTTTTTTTTGGTAAGGTAAATAAAATTGGTAAAACTCTAACTAGAAAAAAAAAAACAAGTAGACACAAAATAGCATTATCAGGAATGAAAGAGAAGACATCACTACAGACCCCATAAACATTACAAGGTTAGAAAGGGAATATTATAAACAACTTTTCACCCATCAATCGACAACTTAGACAAATCCTTTGTAAAACACAAACTACCAAAGTGCACTGCAGAAGAAATAACCTGAATTGTCCCGTAGCAAATGAAGAATTTGAAGTCACAGTTAAAAATCTTCCAACAAAGAAAACTCCACTCCTAGACAGCCTTACTAGTAAACTCTAGTAAGCATTCAAAGAAAACCAATTCAACAAAAACTAGAAAATAGAAATGGGAACACATCTCAGTATTTTATGAGGACAGCATTAAACCTGCAACTAAAACTAGACGAAGACACCAAAAGATTAATACTCTTATTGTAAATATACACAAAAAAATCCTCAACAAAAAATAACTGTTTTGAGCCGGGCTCGGTGGCTCAGCCTGTAATCCTGCGCTTTTGGGAGGCTGAGGTGAGTGGACTGCCTGAGCCCGTGGATTCGAGACCCGCCTGGGCAGCGAGACCTCATCTCTACAATAAATCAAAAAACCAGCCGGGTGTGGTAGCGCATGCCTGTAATTCCGGCTACTTGGAAGGCTGAGGCTGAAGGATCGCCGGAGCCCAGCAGGTCAAGGCTGCGGTGGCCGGGAGCGGCCACTGCACTCCAGTCTGGGCGATAGAGTGTGACTCCAACTCAAAAAAAAACACAAAAAAACTGTTTTGGGATAAACTGGAAAAAAAAAAAACAAAAAACAAACCTCAAAGCACTTAAACAAAGCAGTAGAGCAAAAATACATTTACTCAAATTATTATTATTAACAAGATGCATACTAATAAGAGCATTTATGAGAATCTAATAAATCTTTGAAATTTACAAGTATTTAATGTACATAAGACTTACACCTGTTCATTCAATACCCCTAAAGTGTAATCTCATTAAGAAGTTTAAATTTATGACCTAGCAAACCAAAAGGTTTCCAGAAACATTCTTTTCTCATAAGACCAAAAAATTTCCAGTATGAGAATCAGTGTAACCATTTATATATTCTGGACTACAGAAGTATTTGGTATTTTTATCCTTTTATTTTGGAATAAAGGTAGGATTTGTTTCACAGCTATTTTATCATTTTTCTTGTTTTATGAGGGCAAAGACTACTACTGCATGACACATAACAGGCATTGAGTATTTGTTAATACTGAGAGAATAATGGAGAACACATGATCTGAGCCCTTATGACATTTACAATCTAGTAAACACCAGGTTCAAGGCACTGAAACCTGTTAAGTATCTTACCCTACCCTTCTGTTACTGCCTTAAGCCAGACCTTCAACATTTCTCATGATTACTGACACACCATCCCAGAACGCTTTTCAAACTGCAGACTGTGATCCATTAGCAGTCTGGAAAGCCAATTTAGAGAATTATAAATACCATTTTTAAGAAACAAAAATACTATAGAAATATCAATACACATCATCATATTAAGAAGGGGATTATTCTATGAAACTTGCATACGAAAGACAGAAGTGTGTAGTCAACATAGAGTCCATAAATATCCTTGCGAGTTAAAACTTTTCATACATTTACTTCTATATATAATCCAAACAATCTGCAAAGTGCAGTAGAGGTAATTTATGTGTTATTTAGCATAGTCCAATATAAAAATATCTACTCAACATTTTTGAAAATTTAGTCATTTCAATACTTTTTACGTGTAAGACATTCAAATACTAAGTTTTATTTAACTACTGAATAATTTGTTGCTTTCTGAAAATTTCTCATCTTATACAAATGTGGACTTATTAAAACCATGAAATTCATAAACATTTCATGCCTCCATATATGTATCATGCATATATTGAGTGGTTATGATATAAAAATGTACTCACTAAAAATTGTATTTGAGAGTTCCCAAGGCTTTTTCCAGTTGTCAGTCTTGCAGCAAATAATTCCGTTAGCCATACCATATACTATCCTATACTATATACTATAACAAGATTTTGTTATACCACCATCTAGAGCTGTTGATAAGTATTGTCGCTATGTTCCACAAAGGAGTACATTACTTACATTAGGAACTTGTAATAATAGGTTGATTTTAGTGTTTTTCTTCTTTTCTGAGTTGGAGTCTCACTCTGTCACCTAGACTGGAGTGCAGTGGCCGCTCCCGGCCACTGCAGCCTCAATCTGCTGGGCTCCAGCGATCCTTCCGCCTCAGCCTTCCAAGTAGCCGGAACTACAGGCGAGCGCTACTACGCCTAGCTAATTTTTTTAGTTGATTTGTTGTAGAGATGAAGTCTCGCCAAGTTGCCCAGGCAGGTCTCGAACCCGTGGGCTCAGGTAATCCACTCACGTCAGCCTCCCAAAGTGCTGGGATTACAGGCTGAGCCACTGAGCCCGGCCTGGTGTTTTTCCAATAAAACAAAACAAGAGGGGGATGTAAAGATGTGGGTAAGAGTTTAAAAACTACCTATCAAGCACAATGTTCACTATGTGGGGAATGGGGCACTGATAGCCCAATTCCCCACTAGTATGCAATATGCTCGTGTAACAAACATGAATTCTATTCCCTAAATCTAAAAAACCAAACCAAAACAAAAATAAAATACAAAACCAGTAGTAACCAAAAAGGAAGGGGAAAAAGCCCTATGCTACTATTCCAGGAACAACTTTTATCTGATGAGCACAGTCCTAAACTTAAATGATACACAACAATTTATTTGAATAACAAGCATGCATATAATATACATGCTTACCCCTAGGATATTCTGGCAATATATTTTCTACTTGGCAGAAGACTTTTACAAATCAAACTTGACCATTATTAAACATTAAAGAAGATAACATACCACATCTCTTACAGAAGTACTTGATTTCTTGAGTAAATACAATTCTTTTTTCTTTTGTTCAATGTAGTATCTAATGTCTTTATTAAAAGAAATAAGAGTTTAAGATTAGCAATTTTACCCTTAACAGCGATATTTTGTTGTAGTAAACTTAGGAATGATCATTATAGGCATCCCTTGTGCTATGGTTTGAATGTTTGTCTCCTTCAAATCTCATGGTGAAATTTAATCTCCAATGTGGCAGTACTGAGAGATGGGGACTTTATAGATTAACTGGTTAATAGATTAATGGTTTATCATAGGAGCGAAACTGATGGCTTTATAGGAAGACGGTCTTAAACCCATGTGATATCCTGTGCTGTCTCAGGACCCTGCAGAAAGCCCCCTGCAGCAATAAGGCCCTCCCTAGATGCAGCCCCTCAACCTTGGGTTTCTTAATCTCCATGACTTTAAGAAATAAATTTCTTTTCTTTAAATATTACCCAGTTTCAGGTATTCTGTTATAAGCAACAGAAAGTGATACCCTTGATATCAAAATGTTCACTATGTAAAATCAGGAACCAAAGGACGGATATGGATACTTATACCAAATACTGTCAAAAAACAAATATAAAAGTCTTACCATCAATATGAAGAATTTTTACTCCCCATGATAAGGCATTTGATAATATACTATTTGAAGGAATAAAATCCTGTTTAAACAACAAAAAAAAGTTTTATAGTTCTCTAGGAAGTTACTATAAAAGATGAGCTAAATTTTTTTTTTTTTTTGCATTAATCAGTATTTTTTATTATGGTTTTGTGGGGTACAGTTAAGGGTTAGGTGTACAATGACGTTTCATTCAGGCACCCTGTAGATAAGAAGTGTTTTCCCATCCCCCGACAGATATTTGCTACTGTTAATCCCATGATGAGCTAAATTTTAATAAAAACTCAATTATCTGAACTTAATGTCAGTGAAGCAGTTATTCATTACAGATCCTATACAGTTCAATAGCAAGAACATTAAGATTTTCTTTTGTAATTTCTAAAATCAATCCCACTTAATATGTACTCATGTTCTTGACAATTTAATGCATACTCTAAGGCAAGTTTCAAAAATTTCCTGCAATATTTTAAAAGGCCACAAGATGGGGACGTTTCTCCATGAAGAGTTATCTGTACTTCATAAAATGTAATAACACATGTTGATATTTAGGCATCTGCCTAAAAATGACAAAAGAACTTATGGAATTTCCAGTTGAGTTTTTACTAATCAAATGTATAAATTTTTTAAGTTCTTACTTACATGGTCCTTGATAGCTTTTTCAACTAATAATTTTCCTCTGCTTAAACATACCTATAAAAAGACCAGAAAAAGTTACAGTACAGTGTTTCATTGCAGAAAAGGTTAAAAGGTAAAACAGTTAAATAGATAAATTTTAATTGTACAAGTCTTAATGGGTATTAACACAAATATGCAGTCAAAAGTAATTTTATTTTTTTTGAGTCAGTCTCACTCTATTGCCCAGGCTGGAGTGCAGCAGCACACTCACAGTCACCGCAGCCTTCCATGTAGCTGGAACTACAGGAGCGCTACCACACCCAGCTTATATATATATTTTTGATTTATTGTACAGACAAGGTCTCACCAAGTTGCCCAGGCTGGTCTTGAATCCCTGAGCTCAGGCAATCCTCTCACGTCAGCTTTCCAAAGTGATGGGATTACAGGCTTGAGCCACAGAACCCAGTCGAAAGTAATTTCTTTAGTGTCTTATTTCCTATTAAAAAAGACTGTTTAGCCAGGACTGATTAGCCTGTAATCCTGTGCCTTTGGGAGGCTGAGGTGAGTGGATTGCCTGAGCCCGCGGGTTCGAGACCCGCCTGGGCAGCGAGACCTCATCTCTACAATAAATAAAAAAATCAGCCGGGTGTGGCAGCGCATGCTTGTAATTCCGGCTACTTGGAAGGCTGAGGCGGAAGGATCGCTGGAGCCCAGCAGGTCGAGGCTGCAGTGGCCGGAAGTGACTCCAGTCGGGGCGACAGTGAGACTCCAACTCAAAAAAAAAAAAAGACTGTTTTTGGTGGAGGAACTAAATTAAACTGAATGAAACCTAAGAAGTCAGTTTGTAGTAAATTTTATTCAACTTGGAAAAAAAAAAGTTCCACTGGAATTCTGTATCTATAAATTAGTTGGTTCACCTTTTAGTTTCCTATTAAATTTAAGATTTAGGAAAAACAATAAACTTTGCATACTGTTTTTACATGCTATTTCACTTTCTAAATAAAATACTAGGAAAACTAGTTGAAATGCTATTAGCAAGAATTTGTAACTAATTACTAGTGTATTGTTTCCTTGCTCCGAAGAAAGCGTTAAATTAAATGCATAAGCCTTTGCATAAACCTTTGCCGGTCTCTTCTCTTTTTTGACTTTTTCCCCTTCTTTTGCTTATTTTTTTCAAGTGATATCTTCCATATGTCTCATGTCTTCTTCCCATTTTCTCTGCTTTTCAGATGGTAGTAATAGGTAACTTAAGGAGGATATGTTAAAATAACTTCAGTTACATTTTAAACTTAAAAAGTGAGATAAATTGAACATTCTTATCTTTCGATCTTTTCCTTTTCCCACTCTCAGTTAAATCAATTTAACTTTCCTTCCCTGTATCTTCCAACTTATTGGCAATGGAGTGGTAGAGATATGATTTTACTAATTCTAGAAAAAGGGCTGGTAAGCTTTTAATACAAAGGGCCAGAGAAAAATGCAAAAACCATGCTTAGCTTGCAGGCTGTACACATAAAGGCAGCAGGCTGGATTTGGCCCATGGGTCATACTTTGTTTACCTGTTATGAAATAAATTTTTTTTTCCTTCTTTAAAAGAGATCTGCTGTTAACTTTTTAAACTGCAAATTATAAGTATTTACAGGTGTTATAAGGAAAAAAAGTCAGTTTTCCAAAACACAGTAACTTTATTAATGACTGGAAAGCAACACATAATGTAGCTTTATAAATGTTCTACTAATTAAATTTATTGCCAGCCTGCTATTGAAAACCATGAGATCCTCAAGTTACGGCCTATCTAAGAGTCTCAAAGCATTTTTAAGAGACTTACTGTGTCTGGTGACTTAAATGAACTTCCATCATGGCTAGGATGAGGTGAAGTGGTTTCCGCAGTATATGCAGATTCTGGACTTGGTACAGGAGAAATTCGACCCAATGTTTGTGCAAATTTAGCCTCCTTTTTATTTGAAATAAGATAACTGATATCTTTGCTGAGAAATTCTTCAACTCGCTAGAGGAAAAAAAAATATTTTTTAGTCATAAAAACCATAAATGTTTTCATATATGATTCACAATATAAAATTCAAATTTGATGCGGTTTAGTATCTTGCAAGTTGGTGGTTTTTATATAATACTGTTTCTGATCCTTAAGTTTTGAGGTTTCAATAACAATAGGAATTTCTTTAACAACACAACAATGGCAGCAAGTGGTAGATACTATTATTTATTATTTATTTTTTTGAGTAGATGTCTTACTGTGTTGCCCAGGTTGGAGTGCAGTGGCATGATCACCGTTTCCGTAGCCGCAACCTGCAGGACTCAGGCGATCTTTCCACCTCACCCTTCCAAGTAGCTCAGACTATAGGTGTGTACCACCAAGCTTGGCTAATTTTTTGATTTATTGCAGAGAAGAAGTCTTGCCATGCTGCCCAGGCTGGTCTCAGGCAATCCTCTAGCCTCAGCCTTACAAAGTGCTGGGGTTACAGACATGAACCACCACACCAGGCCAGATACTATTCTTAAATATTTTATATACCCTATTTAGCCTATGTAACAACCCACGATACTAGTATTATTCAATTTTTCAGATGCAGGCCAGGTGCAGAGGCTCACATCTACAATCCCAGCACTTTGGAAGACTGAGGCACCATACCCTTTCTTGAGGCCAGAAATTTGAGACCAGAGGAGAAAAACTGAAGAGAAGTGTCTTGCTTGACATTTATACCAGTAGTAAATAATAGAATTTAAACACAGGCTTTCTGACTCAGGCCTATGATCTAAAGCAGCATTGTCCAAGAGAACTTATAGTGCTGACATAAATGTTCTTTGTTTGCACTATCTAATATGACAGCAGTATATGGTCATACCACCCTGAACAAGCCCCATCTCGTGCAATATGACAGCAACTTGCCCATATGGCTACTCAGTTACCTGAAATACATTTACTGTGACCAAGTCACTAATATTTTTTAAAGAAATGGGGGTCTTACAATGTTGGCCAGGCTGGCCTTGAACTCCTATGCTCAAGAGAATCCTTCTGCTTCAGCCCCCTAGTAGCTGGAATTACATGCATATGACATTGTGCCTAGGTGGACCCACTGCTTTCTAAATTTTATTTCAATGGATTTAAAAAGCCACATATTGCTAATGGTTACCACACTGCACAGAACAGCTCTAATCATTAGGAGTACCTGAAGAAATTTTCCTTACCAAAATGTTTGAAAACCATTGCTTAATACCTGAATTTATAAACATATATACCAGAATCAGTGTTACTGAAGATCACAAATTCAAGAACAGGAAATTAAAATAAGTACAAGTAAATACTAAGCGAAATAATGCTAAAAATAGTGTTAGAAAAATATATCAGCCAGGCTCAGTGGCTCAGCCTGTAATCCTGCGCTTTGGGAGGCTGAGGTGAGTCGATTGCCTGAGCCCGCGGGTTCGAGACCCACCTGGGCAACTTGGCGAGACCTCATCTCCACAATAAATAAAAAAATTAGCTGGGTGTGGTAGTGTGCGCCTGTAGTTCCAGTTACTTGGGAGGCTGAGGCGGAAGGATTGCCGGAGCCCAGCAGGTCGAGGCTGCGGTGGCCGGGAGCGGCCACTGCACTCCAATCTGGGCGGCAGAGTGAGACTCCAGCTCAAAAAAAAAAAAAAAGAAAAAAGAAAAATATATCGTGTAAATGTTATATAAAAACACTAATTAAACACAAATAAATTATCCACTAATAATCATTAACTATTTTCATGAGACAAACTATTTTAAACAGCTATATTTAATTTCTATAGACTCTAAAACTATAAATGATAATAAAAATGAAGCAAAGTGTGCAATAGGTAAGTTAATTTCATCTAAGCATTCAGCAGAATTTGCTGCTGAGACTAATGGCCTCCTTAGTTAAGTACAAATCACTTTTATTCCTGACCAACATTCATTTTCATTGACCAGTACATAAAGTATCCAGGGAATACAGACTCAAATGTCTACAAGGACAAGGAAAGAATATAATGAGCAAATTCTCACATCAAATACTGCCTTCATTTTAATAGAGGCCATAGCAATGACAGAAGTTCGAATCTCCTATACTTTTTATTGTGACAAACGTAAAATTTGCCATTTTAACATTTTTAACTATACAATTTAGTGGCAATAAGTACACTCACAATATTATGCAACTAACACTAATAGCCATTACTAGAACTTTTTGTCTCAAACTGAAACTCTGTACCCATTAGACAGCAAATCCTCATTCCCTCCTTTTCTACTTTCTGTCTCTATGAATTTGGCTATTTTAGATACCTTATAGTGGGATCTTACATTATGACTGGCTTTCTTCACTTAGCACAATGTTTTTAAGTTTCACCCACGTTGTAGGATGTATCAGAATTTCATTCCTTTTTAAAGCTGAATAATATTCCACTATACATACGTTTTTGACTATCCATTTACATGTGGGACATCTACTTTTTCATTATTGTTAATAGGCTATGAACATATGCTATGAATACACAATAGAGCATACTGTACAACAAACTCAAATATCTGTTGAGTTAATTTACCGTATCTTTTTTATTCTTTGTGATAATGTCCTCTGAGTCATTAATTTTGACTTTTTAATTTTGATTAGTCCCTCAACTATTATCAATTATCAAGTACAATTTATATTTTTTCATTTATTGCCTATAATTTTGGTATCATAGCCAAGAAATCACTGCCAAATCCACTGTCATGATGATTTCCCCTATATTTTCCATTAAGAGTCTTAGCTCTTACTTTGACATTTATCCGTTTTGGGTTAATTCTTGCAAATGATATAAAGGTCCACCTTCATGATTTTTGCATGTGGATTACCTAGTTTTCCTAGAACCAGTTGTTGAAAAGATTATCCTTTCCCCATTATATATATGGTTTAGCACCCTGTTGAAAATCAATTTGCCATATATGTAATAGCTTATTCCTGGGATCTCTGTTCTATTTCATTAGTCTGTATGTCTGTTCCTGTGCTAGTACCACATATTTCCTTTGGTTTTCCATTTCTTACTAATAGTTACAATTTGGCCTGAATGTAACTTTTGTGTCTTGCCACTTCCCCCATTTAAATCCCAAGCTCAAGTCCCACTGCAACATTAGCAACTGTACCAATAAGCTACATTGACATGAATTTTTTAATACACTCTTTTCTTTATATATTATGTCCAGTTTTCCTGGTATATTTCTACTAGGTCTTCAAGATTCAGTTCAAACTTTATCTCTGTTGATTCTCAGTGGCAGAGTTAATCATTCCCATCTCTATTTTCTAATAGCAATTTCTACATATTTCTATTAAAGTGTTGTTCTGCTATAAATTATTGAGTTGTCTGATGTTCCCATTAGACTGAGAATACATAGAGGACTAGACTAAATTTTACATCTCCAGCACAGTGCTGACACATGGGGAACACTGGTGGAAAATTTTTTTAATGAATTCCCACATAGTCTTAATTATTCTTCAAAGCTGAGTTCAAATTATGTCTATACAATGCCCTCCACGATTCTTCAGTTGGCTGTTATCTCTCTCTCCTCTTGACATTCTATGCTGCATTACAATTAATTGTATCCATGTCATCACTACTTGGAACTTGAGGGTAGGACAGGCATAAGATTTGCTTTTGAAACTACCAAAACGCACAATAGAGTGCACTGTAAATAACTATTGATTCAGTTTTACCATGGTCCTCCATTTATTAGATATTGTTGAATCTATGCCTTTTAAAGAGTAAACTCATTTTCTGATGACTTAAGGTCACGCTGATGAACAGCAAACATTTAACTCTATCCTCAAGTTAATCATGTGCCAAGGTATCTGCCCTTATATTTCTGTTCTGCCCTGACTGCCTTATTTTAGTCAAAACTGTTCAGACATGGACCTAAATGTGATTGATTTTATCCATGTCCTTCCTTAGATGGCTTTGTAAAGCTAATTTTCTTGTCACTATTAAAGTTATTTCTCCATTATGTCTGAATTCACTGTTGTGCTCTCAGCGATTTGTTGTTGAAGCACAGTCTGTAGATAAGTGGGGGCATTAAGATGTTTTCATTAAATCTAAAGAAAACAAATATATATAAGTGGTCAACTAAAAAGATACCAATATTGATGTGATACAAGATAAATTATAAAAAGGATAAAGGACCTAAGTAATACTAAAAATTAAGTAACAAGCATACTTTCTTTAATGAGTATCTATTTAATTATATTAATAGTTCTTAAAATTGAATCCTAAAACTCTTATATCAGTGTCTAAAAGTTCCTTTATAGTTTATGTAGGAGATCTTTATGACAAAATTTTTTTCAGTGATAGAAATGGTAAATATACTGAAGACAGAAATCAGGACGTAGGGGCTAAATATTAATTACAGAGTGTGTAGGGGGAGACAAGAATTCAGTTAACTATAGCATTTTTAAAAAGAAAGTTAATAGATCATATTCAGGTGAAAACCCACAGCTTTAGGAGAAAATTTGGAAACATTTACACTCTTAATATGCTCTTAACTTCACTGGTCTACTTCATACCATTTTAAAGATTTGAAATGTATAAAACATAAAGGTCCCTCAACTATTATCAGAGGCAGAAATAATCCAGAATTTGTTTTTCAAGTGCCTCAGGAATTGCTTTGGGGGATGGGAGGAGAGAGAAAGTAGGGGGCAGGGGAAGTGGTACCTGCTATAACATCTATACTGCTGCTTTAGTCAGAAGTGTTTCCTTTTTCCATGCTTTACATATTGGACTACTGAACATGATTTTGTTTCAAGAGTTCCACTGCTTGAAAAGCAAATCTAAATACTGGTGATTTAGACTATTAGACTTAAGGTTAACGTGTTATTCATATTTGAGAAGGTTGTCAAACCATATCAGATAGCTACTTTGCAGTCAAAGGAACAGAATGGTGTAGGTGGTACCTTACTCTGGGAATTAAGAAGCTAATAACTGCTCTGATTGGGCCAATTATTTAGCTTCTTTGGACCTCAAGCGCCGCATTTCTAAAATTAAGAGGTCTTTATTCAATGTCTAAGGTCCTTAATGCACAAGATTCTTAATTCAAAACTCTGTTCCTTTAATGACATTCATTCTGCTGAGACTTAATATCTTTATCACTCAAGGGCAATTTTAACACTTGGTGGTTTGCATGGGTTTTCCCTGTTCTGTATGAACATTCTTAACTGTTATATTAGTCCAGACAAATTTATGTAGCTTCCCAATATTCATAATCAAGGAATTTCTGCCATCTGGAGGACATTCTAACATTACACAACAGGCAGTGAGCAGTTCCACTTGGACAAGGGAGTCACTTCTTACACTCTGGAAACTTTACAGTAGATTACTAATCAGAGTAACCTGAAAGTTTTGTCAGACAGCAAAAGGTGATAACAAATGGTTTTTCATTAATGATAAAAAAACAAAAAAAATTTTAAGCTTGGTGGTAATAGATGGTTTTTAGTTTTCCAAAATCAAAAATTTAAATGATTACATAGTGCAAAGTATTACTTTCAAATTTATCCTTTTCTGCCAGTGTATGGTTTTCACTTACCCCTCCTAGATCCTTAATATCCTTTTGCAGTTTTTCAGATATGGTGACAGAAGGTAAGTCAAGGTAAAACACTTTTCCCCAAAGTGGCTTATATTTGGATTTTTCTGGTCTATTATCAGTTTTCAGAGATTTCAAAGACGGTCTGATTTTTTCATTTTTGACTTGAATTCCACCTGTTATTAAAAGTGTTTAGAATGAGATGTTTTACGCAGACATATTTTTTACTGTTTTAAAAATATTTCATTAAAAATTTCATCATACAACTACCAATCACAGAAATCCTTACAATCCCACCAATTTAAGCCATTAACATACAAATATAACTATTGATACTACTACTTCGGATAAAAGCAAAATACTCTATATACAATATACATATTTTAGGTTGTAAAAAAGACAGTTGACTCAGCAGGAAATATTCCTGTGTTTATTCATGTCTAATGTCTGCCCTAAGGCACGGACCTATGCAAACCCTTTTGAAGGATATTTTTCTTTGGAATGTGAACTCCATGGGGGCATTTACTCAAGCAACTAAGTATCTACCCTACTGCTGAGCACTTAAAACTGATGCTTAAAATGTTCATCACTTATGGATGCAAGAAACCTGTTACCAAGAATCACTTTTCCTCAAGGATTCTTGACTGCTCACGTTTTAGTTTCATGTAAAGTTTAATAAGAAGTGCTAAATGGTCCATTTCATATATAATTTGTCTAAACATAAAGAACTTAATGATCCGTTAAGAACTAAGCCACCATTCGTTATTTTTATAGAAAACAGGTCTGCTGCTTTAGAAATTAACTTTTAAAAGGTAATCTGCTGTTCAGTGGGTGGTTGCTATACACACACAAACACCTCTGTGAAACACTTCGATGGTGGAATGTTGCACTAAGCGCAGTACCTGAAAATGGAAACTGGCTTTTGTCTCCTTCTTTGCCTATGATGAGCAGCGGTGTGTCTGAAATGCAAATACTTTTCCTCAACTTGATGGGTGAGGGGGAGGAAAAAAACCAAACTTCTAAGAGTAAGACCAAAAATCCACACACAATCCAACAGCGAGGGGGGAAGCCACGGGCACGTCCGACCTCAAACGGAGGATCCAGCCCGCAGCCCCAAGGGCCCGAGCGGGGCC